ATCTTCTCCCCAGGGACATTAAATAACTCAGATCAAAGTTCTCAATATTTTTTCTTTTCATTCCCTGGCCCAGTTGTTTTGGACTTCTATAGCTGAATTAGATGAATGTGGTTTTTGAAACCTGTTTTCCTACTTTCTCTTTATTTGGGCTTCACCATAGGTTTCAATAAATCCCTCAAATCAAAGGCCAAGAATAAAAAGTTTAAATATCAAATAATTTTGAGAATTTGGCTATTATCTCAAATATTTTATTTCAATACCAGAAAGGTATTTTTCTCTTACTTGTTTGATACATATGTTGACATATAGCTCAGAATTTCCGGCTTACAAAAAATTTGTTACTACCTCAAAGAAAAACAAGCTCGCTTTATTAAAATAAAAGGTGAACAGAGTGATCAAATATTAACTAACCTAAGCAGAAAGTAAGATGTTCTCCCCAAATTCCTTCAACATCTTATTGTTACCTATAATCTTTCCAGTTTGAGATTCAAACAAAAATTGCCTGGCTAGAGCAGAGTAAAGACGGAGCTTCTTTAAAAATGGGCTGTACTCTCAAATTTGTTGAGCCAGAAGATGCATCGTACTTTCCTGGATTGTGTGGACCACGCCAAAGAGAGAACCAGCCTGGTGCTGTTTAAATTCTTACCCAAAGGGATTTAGTTGAGGTGTACCAGACTGGTAAGAGTAGATTCTGACATCCTGATTGAGCACTATTATCCCTGATTGTGCTCATGTGACTAGAAAACCATTTTACACACAGCAGACACAGCAAAACAGATTATGATACACTCTTGCTTAAAATCCTACTATTGCTTTCCCATTGCATGTATAATGAAACCCAAACTCCCTAATCTGGTTAAAGAAATCCTACATGGTTAAACACCTACACCATGTCACTCTCCTCCCCCCATGGCTCAGTCACTCTCTTCCCCACATGGCAGTCCAACTACTGGTTGCCCCTTTTCCTCTAGCCAAGAAAGCTCTCTGTGTCTGAAACTTTCTCTCTATTTCAATGATGGCTTCTACATGTCATTTAGATATCAGTTTAAATGTGACCTCCATAGATACATCTTGCCTAACAAGCCACTCTAAAGCAGTGACCAAGATGTTCTCCCTAAGGAAACATTAGGCAAATTCCTCTTTTCAACTAGATTTCATCCTTGGATGTCCCTAACCTTCCTAAGCCAGTCTAAATGAAGAACCCTACTAAGTGATTTCACAATTTTGATATATGATCAAGGTCTTCATCTTCGATCCTTAATATTTAAGCCCTTCGCCTGCCTTTAGCAAGAATCTTGTTAGTCCAGTTCAGCAAGAATCTCCCTATCCTTGACTTCTATTAAAAATCTTCCATCCACTGATCCCTTCACTCTGCTCCTTGATTATAAATCTCCAGCTGCCGTTGCTGTGTTTGGAATGAGGTTCAGTCCTTTCCCTGATTACAATAGTACAAAATAAAATTTGTATCATCTTTAACTGGTGTCTGGCTCTGTTTGTTTTTGATAGTAACCACCTAGTTCCCTGGTATCAAATTACCCTATTTTAATTCCCTGCATAGAGTTAATCTTATGGCATTATTATGGTGCTTTATTTGTTTATACACTAGGATGCAAGGCTTTGGGAAACGAGGGACATTGTCTCTCTTGATCACTGTTTCACGTGACCAAGACATGCAGATAGCCTAGAACAAAGCTTGAAATTGGCTACACACTCAAGAAATTTTGTTGGGTGAGACCATTTTCATGGTAGATCTAAAGGAGTATGAAAATGCACACAAGAGAATCCTGAAAATTAGTATATACATAAGATTAATTATAAAAAGGCAAAAATGAATAAATCAAATATTAAAAGTTGATCCCTCAGGTTTCTTCTTTATATAATGTTGTATTTTCCAAATTTTCCACGATTACTTTTAAAATCAGAAAAACATAAAAAATAACACACAAAAAAGTGGTTTAATGAATCACCATTTTTAGTTGGTTTCAAATGTGTTTCTTAGGGAGAAACCTTTTACTTGCTGCAAGTTTTCAAGATTATTGATTCTGTGCCAAGAAAAAGACATATACAAATATAAAAATGAAACAAGCACATTTTCACAGAGGAAAAAATTGTCAAAAATAGTTATTTCCTTCCTTACAGTTCTAAAACCTAGCAGATCTTAAAACCAAGCCAATAATAAAATAGAGAAAACGGTGAAGAGGATAAGAGTCTGATATTACTTAGATGTCACATTACCTGTGTCAGGGAAACCAAGCACAAATGCTGTTTTCCCTGTGTAATCTGATTCACTCATGAGTGTGTGCTAGTGATTCATGTGGTGCTGTTAACTAGTGCAATGATCTTGACAGGAACTGCAGTACTCTGCTCACAACCCTGTGGGTCTCTACCCTCCACCGCACTTGCAGATGTTCACTTGCGGCATTTGTTTTTAAAACACTTTTCCTTTGTTGGCTGCTGTTTACTATTTTATGACAGTCACTGTTGTTATTGATGTTGTTTTAAAATCGTTCTTTACATGACTAAACACAACACCGTCAGATTATATGGCATGGAGATTCATCAATTAAGGTAAGATAAAATGAAAAAGAACTCATCCCTATTTCTCTCATTAGATAAAAAGCTTTGATGGAATCTACTTACTGGTCTTAGAGCCCTTATGCAGGCCGTTTGTTCTCTCTTCCTACAATGTTTTTTTTTTTTTTTTTTCACCTTCTCAGTGAAATGGACCTGACCAACTATTTAAAACTGAAATAACTCAACACTCTGTATTTCCCTGCTCTGCTTCCTATTATTCCTCAACAGTTATCACAGTCTCATATCCAATACTGTGTTTACTGTCTCCCCCAAAAAATACAAGCTCCATGAGGCAGGGATATTGGTCTGTTTTGCTCCTACTATACAACTTGCTAAGTGAGTGAATGATACAGGTGAATTTGTTAGTGTTATACTTTTTGAGATTATGTCTCATAAGTTTAATCCATCTATGATTTATACCCTGAGGAAAAGGAACACTTGAAACCTCTTTTGTGGTTAGAAATGGGTCCTAGATTCAAGGACCTAGAGTTGCCACAGTTCCTTTTGTACTACTGAAATCTTAAAAGATAGGAGAAAATCTCCAATGAGGTAACCAAGGAGTTATGACATTTGGCTGAGATGGATCCCAGAAAAAATATGTATACTGTGTCAAAATGTGTTAATAATTCTGCCTAGGTCACAAAAGTTTAGAACTTTCCCCAGCATACTTTCTCTTTTTATAAGTTTAGTCTGTATGTAGTATCAAAAAGAAAAGAGCTCTTGTTTTAGTTTGGCAGTTTTTTGAATGCTTGACTTTGGTCTCCCAGAGGAAATGGAGGAAACTAGTTTCATTATCCACTCTGTTATTGGCAGTCTTAGCAAACTAATACAGCCAATCAAGAAATGCCATACATTTTTGTCAGAGTGAAATGCTTGTAAAGAAGTAGATTTATACTTCAGAGTTGTTTTGTTCTCTCCTCAAAACAGAAGGTTCCTTTTAGTCAGCTGCCAGTATGTTAATACTTCAGATTTACCCCACAGTATCCATTTGCTTAAGACCCTAAGACACACCCACTAAGTGCAGGAGGATACTAAAAACATCAAAGCAGGAATATAAATTGAATGCTCCTACACATAAAAATAAAACACCTATAAAGTTTTCAGTGAAAGATTTTGCGAATTCTACATCACTGTTATCCCTTTTCTTACTACTTCTAGATCAGAAATATCTAGGTTAATAATAAAATTGAGGAAGCTGGGACAGTAATATTTTCCCAAAATAATCAAACCTATTATCACAGAATCTAGTTTACACATATTTTTGGATTTACTTTTTCTTTCCTGTGTATTTCTTCTTTGTTTCTTATTTTCATCACTTTAAAAATTTTTGAAAACATTTGTGCTATTTTATAATTCGTGAGGGATAAATACCATAAAGTCATCTTACTATTTCTCAAACCAAATCAATGACTACAACATAAACTTTTTTATTTTTGAAGACAAGGTCTCATTCTGTCACCCAATGTCTGAAGTGCATGACTCACTACATCCTTAACCCCTGGGCTCAAGCAATCCTTCCACCTCAGCCTCTCTAGTAGATGGGACCACACATGCACACTACCATGCCCCACTAACTTTTTTAATAGTTTGTAGAGATGTGGTCATGCATGTTGCCCAGGCTGGTCTTAAACTCCTGGGTTCAAGTGATTTTCCTGCCTCAGCCCTCCAAAGTGCTGGAATTATAGGCATGAGCCACTGTGCCTGGCCTAAAGCAAACTTTTTACAGGATATGTGGAACGTAATTTAGCTGACTAAAGTAATGATATAAATCCTGTCTTTCCATACTTTAGAAGCAGTAGCTGAGTAATTGTTAATGACACATAAAAGTGCTATTCAAATAAGACCCGTTATTATTTTTTAAAGTGTTAGTTTATACATAATCACTACCTTTTGAAAACAATATATATAACTTTTCAAAAACTTGTCATACTTGCTTTGTTTTTACTTTCACAACTATTTTCCCAAGTAGGTAAAGGATTATCATTTTCATTTTATACAACTCTACAGAAAGGACATTGAACTGATTAACATAGCAGACTCCAAAATATGTGGTTAAAATAAACCTAATGTCATCAGGGATTACCTAAATTTACTTATTCTTTAATTACACTCAGGTTTTCTACTGGTTGATATACAGTCAACTTTCAGCACAACAAGAAACATACACTATTAATTTAGTATTTTTATGAGTTTCCACAAACTAAGATTAGTTTAATTTTTCCCATTTCCACTTCAAAGATTATATCAAAAAACAAACAACAAACATAGAAAAACTTTTAAGAATCAAAGGTAACCAAGATTGAAAGTTAGGAACCTATTTTATAAAAGCTATAAATATTATAGATTATCAAATTAACATTTTTATTGTGGTATATAAAATAAAATTTTAAATTAACATTTAAAAAATATTAAAAATATGTTCTCACCAATATTAGGGTGTTTCAAAAGACGGCAGATTCTAGCTTCTCTTTCCAGTTTCTGATGATCTGTTTAAAAAAAAAAACTGAATAAGGCAAAAATAACAAAACACAATAAACAGCATAACAAAATCACATAAGGCCTTTGCATTTACTCATCCTTTGATTTCGTTTTGAAACAAGAATAATTCAAATTTAGAATTAAGTGAATAGCACATAGTTCAATATCGAATTTTATTTTTCATTGACTTGATGTTTGACAGAGCGTAGTATAAAATAGTGCTAAATTTAGTCTTGGGGAAAATAGCAGAAATGACACAAAACAATACCAATCTTTCTCATCTTTACATTAAGTATTTTACATTAAGTATTTTTTTACTTTTTTTAAAAATTTTTTTTTAATTTTTTTGAGACAGATTCTCGCTCTGTCACCAGGCTGGAGTGCAGTAGCACAATCTCAGCTCACTGCAACCTCTGTCTCCTGGGTTCAAGCGATTCTTCCGCCTCAACCTTCCAAGGAGCTGGGACCACAGGCACGTGCCACCACGCCTGGCTAATTTTTGCATTTTTAGTAGAGATGGGGTTTCACCATGTTGGCCAGGATGGTCTTGATCTCCTGACTTCATGATCTGCCCACCTTGGCCTCCCAAAGTGCTGGGATTACAGGCGTGAGCCACCACACCTGGCCAAGAATGTATTGTTATAATAACTTTAATCCAATATAGACATACCAATTTAGAGCAGAGGATGCATATATGGAAATTGGATTGCTAATAAAGTAAGTGCTAAGTCAGGTTATTGTAGTTTATCTCTAATGGAGAAGTGTTATCAGTTCAGTCATATGTTCTCAGCCACTCTTCTTACAACTGTTGGTTCAACTTCCTAGGTATATGATACTCTTCCTAATATCAAAGATTTCCCAAAATCCCTAATTCCTTGCTTATCTTCACCTTTCTATGTTTCTCTAACCATTTCTTTGGAGAAACATGTGTCTTAACGTGTGTATTAAGAATTATCTTAATTCTTACACAAGAAGAAACTTCTAAGAATAATTTTAATATTCTTCTTTGATTTTTTTGATAGAGGTACACATACATATAAATATAATCAAAATCATTCACCAACACACAAAATAAATGGTAGAGAGAGACAAAAACATGGTAGAAACACATGTTGCTGATACATGTAGCAGTGTATAGTGGTCATTAGTTGAAACACATGTTGCAGTGTATAGTGGTCATTAGTTGAAAACTTATACACAGAAAACTGATTTAAATTTTACAACAACCCTCTAAGATTGCCAATATTATTATCCCTATTTTAAAATACAAATTCTAATAGTTTAACACCACTGTCTTGATTAATGCAAAGCCTCCAGCAATTTCATCCTATTTCTTTTGCATTATAATGTAACACATGTCAACACATGTAAAAATGTCAACACTTTTAAAAATAAAAGACAAACAATGTTTTAGTTTTAATTTGGATATAGTTTTGACCTGATGATCCCCTACGAGAGTTTCAGGCACTCCCAGGATCTGCAGATACACTCTTTGAGGACCACTGGTGTATTCTATAATTAACTGTTGTATATAATGTTGATTTTTCTGGTCATTTAAAAAAATATTTTAAACACATACAGTGCTATTAATAGCTCAAAGTGTCAAAAAACAGTGTCTCCATAAATCAGCACAGCATTAGATAGACTCTAATAGTATATCTCCATTATATCTGGATTCCCAAACACAAAGACAGATACTCTCTGGACCTACCATTATCTATAACTATACCGACTTCTATAAATATAATTTCTTCAAACTCCCTTAACAAGTCCTTATTCTTAAGACAAACTACTTCTAACTTATTTAGAAGTACACAGAAAATACAAAAAGTTAAGGTAGATTTTGAAAATGCCTCTAACAGCAATATCATGAATAAATACTGCAAAGTGTTTCATGTAAAGTATATGAAAGAGGCTGGGCACAGTGGCTCACGCCTATAATCCCAGCACTTTGGAAGGCCAAGGCAGGTGGATTGCTTGCAGCCAGGAGTTTAAGACAAGCCTGTCCAACATAGCGAAATCTCATCTCTACTAAAAAAATATGAAAATTATCCAGGTGTGGTAGCGGGCACCTATAATTCCAGCTACTCAGGAGGCTGAGGCACAAGAATCACTTGAACCCAGGAGATGGAGGTTGCAGTCAGCCAAGAACACAACACTGCACTCCAACCTGGGCAACAGAGGGAGTCTCCATCTCAAAATAATAATAAAGTATATGAAAGACATATGTGAACAAAGATTAGAATTTTGTTATGGAGACAGGGACATGCAAACATACATGCTAAACTGTGATTACTATATATATATATATGGTTTTATATATATAGTAATTTATATATATATAAATCATCTGAAAAATAATTATATTAAAATAAAGAATAAAAAGTGAAAAATCTTTACAGACAGTAAGTTCTACAGAGCTTTTGCTATAGAGATAAACATAATTATAGAACTTTATATAGCCTATTGTGTGGGCTCATCTGTTGTTTCCCTGTAAAATGCATATAAAGCCATCCTAATCTTCAGATCCCAGAGAATGTGACTGTATTTGGAGATGGAATGTTTAAAGAGGTGACTGAGCTAAAATGAGGTCATTATTGTGGGCTCTAATCTAACATAACTGGTGTCCATATATGAAGAGGGTACTGGTGCACTGACAGGTGCAGAAGGAAGATCATGTGAAGACACAGGGAGAAGACAGGCATCTACAAGGCAAGGAGAAAAGCCTCAGAAGAAATCAATGCTTCTGACATCTTTATCTTAGACTTCTGAGCCTCTGGAATTGTGAGAAAATAAATTTGTCACAATTGGTTGTTTAAGTAACCTAGGCTGTGGTACTCTGTTGTAGTAGCTCTATCAAACTAATACACCGAATGTATCAGTTTTCTATTGTTATGTGTCCAACACCACAAAGGCAGAAGCTTAAAACAACACACATGTATAAACTCACAGTTTCTGTGGGTCGTGAACCTGGGTATAGCTTAACTGGGCCCTTTGCTTTAAGGTCTCTCACAACGCTGCAATCAAGGTGTCAGCCATGGCTGGGGTCTCATCTAAAGTCTTGGCTGAGGAAGGATCTGCTTCTAAGCTTGCATAATTGTTGGCAGTACTCAGTTCTTACAGGACTTGTTGAGGTGAGGGTCTCAGTTCCTACCTGGCTGTTGGCTGGAGGATGCTCTCAGTTCCTTGCATGTGCCAATATGGCAACATGTTTCATCAAAGCCACCGAAGGAAGGAGTATCGAAAGCAAAAGGGAATGTCATTATCTTATCTAACCTAATCACAGAAGTTATATCCTATCATGGTTTCCATATTCAATTGGTTAGAAAAAAAAGCTAGGCTGGCTCAATTTTAATGTACAAGGGCATGAACACCAGGAGGCAGGATTATTAGGACATCTTAGAATTTCTCTGCCACAGTAGACCTTTTTTTTTACTCTTGTCACCCAGGCTGGAGTATAATGGCGCAATCTCGGCTCACAGCAACCTTCGCCTCCCAGGTTCAAGCAATTCTCCTGCCTCACCCTCCCTAGTAGCTAGGATTACAGGCGCCTGCCACCATGCCCAGCTAACTTTTGTATTTTTGGTAGAGACAGGGTTTCACCGTGTTGGCCAGGCTGGTTTCGAACTCCTGACCCCAAAGTGCTGGGATTATGGGAGTGGGCCACAGCGCCCGGCCCACAGTAGACTTTATAACAACAGTACTGATGGGCTTTCTCTGACAAGCAGCTTCACTTACCTTTTCTTTCATATAATCACATAACTTAGTGATCTTCTATGAATCATAGGCATTCTGCATTCTACTCCTGGGACATGTTTTGACATCCCAAACATGATGATATAACTAAATTCTAGTTTCCATTAAAACTAGAAATTAACAATAATGAAAATGCATATCACCTGGTATGTTTCACATTCAACATCAAGTTCGCAACTTTACTTTTAGAGAGAGTAGGTAGGTGAGGAGTGATTAAATACCTATTACAGTATTGCCAAAAAGCACATTTCTGTATTTATCCTGCTGAAGAGATGGATTACTTTTAAAGTCTCCTCTACTTTTAATTTCATCAGAAACAAAAATTATACATCCTACCTTATTATTCCCAGCTCTGATAACTATAGTGGTACGAGGCACAGACAGATTATAAAAGGCAAGACAGCCATAATACTGTTTGGCACCATTTGAAGATGTTCCTTTATTATCCACAGGCCCTGAAGCTAATGGAACCAACCTCATTTATCATTTAATATTTATTAAAGTACTTGAACTATAATAGTTTGGCTTTATTACTCCTTTGAAGCTCAAGTCCATACTCTTATTGAATCAAAATATAACTCTTCAGGCTGTAATCTTGTCAGGTCTGATAAGGTATATACTGTTAGTAATATATGGTTGAAGACCTGCCATATAAGCAATGCCTTAAGGAAAATGCATCATCATTCGGTTTTGACATGAAGTCAGTGGGGGAATAATATTATCAACAGAGAAACTTCTGGATTTTAAAACATTTCTCAAGAATTTTGGTGAAGTGTTGTTATAATATTTCTTCCTAGCTGAGATACTATTTTAACTTACAAAATATTTTATTTCAGATGAGGTGGAAAATGTGAATTCAGACCAAATGAAGTAAATCCTTGACTCCTGTTCCAAATCAAATTTTAATCTTTATGCAAAAGAATAATTCTGATCACAAATGGAAATTAAAGTACTAGCTTTGATTTACTTTCACAGAGCAATAGAAATAGCACTAAAGCTACATAAAGTAACAGTATATCTAGTCTGGCAATATTAGGGAATAAGCTCTTATCAATAAACAAATTTCAAAAGTACTTATTTATTCCTCCAAATACCCAGGTTTAAACTATTAACCTTGTTGGGGGATTGGAGGGAGATCTAACAGTCATTGCTTTCTTACATGAATGACATATATAAAAGAATTTAATCTTTCTTGACATCACTGAGTCCTCATTATTAACATTAATTATTACTCTGCTGTAATCCAGTGAAA